ACAGCTCACAACAGCCAAGTGCCACCTATCACTTCTTCTGGCTTGCTGCAATGAGAGAAGCTTTCCTTGGTCTGTCCAACTGCAGAGTTGTGCAGACACAGGCAGACTCAGCAGGCAAGCAGGTCTCCAGCTGGCAAGACTATCCAAGCTAGCTGCCCTCCTTCTCACTTCCCTCCAACCCTGCACCGCTAACCCACAGCCAGTTCCTGTAAATAGCCTAGTTCAGTTACCACCATTCGTCTGAGCCCCCGGCTCAACACAGCTGGCACTTAAGCTCCTGGAAAGGAAGGCACGTGTAACAGAGGAGGCATCCCATTCCTACCCCCCACAACCCAAACATTGGCTGTGCTCTAGCCAGAGACCCTGCATGCCCCCCAATCTGCCCATGCCCCCACACTCACTTGTTTCACCTTCTCCTCAAAGTCAGCGTCATTGTGGTCCGAAATCATCTGTGCAAGTCGAATCTGTTCCGCAGTAGCCTAAAGAGCAAAGGTGGAAGAGGTGCAGGATTAGAGCAGTGCTTTTCCAAGCAGCCACTTTCCAAAGAACAACGTTCAGCTCCCCTGCAAGCACCGGAACAGAGCGTGCACAGAGGGGGGAAAGGAAGGAGAGCAAACGTGGGTCTGAGAGGGGAGGAAGGACAAAGGGCCAAGTGAGGAGGTGTGGAGGAGAGCAAGACCCTGCCGGACACTTCCCCATGCACATGAGCCAACCGGCTCACCAGGCACCGCCCTCTCTCTTCTTGGGGCAGATCTCAACTCCCAGGCACATTCTGTAGGTGGAACATCAGCGATCCATGTTTGTTAACAGGGGCAGGGAGCAGCCCGGAGAAAGCAGAGTGGTTTCAGCTCCAGCTCTCACATGGGAACACTAATGAAGTAGCTGTGCGACCAGCAACAGCCCAAGCAGCCTGCCCCTGCCCTGCCCTGAGCAGCGGCACCCTTTAACACACAGGAAGTGGTTCTGGGAGACGTGTTAAGCCAAGCCCAGCTATTACTCATAACTGCTCTGACCAGCTAGGAGTGCCAGGTCTCCACCTCCAAGCTAGCTGGTTTCCATGGACGCTCCCCTTACCTGTGGCCGCTGCTTGTGCTGTGTCTGGCTCTGTGTCTGTGTCTGCTCCCAGTTCCCCCGGGCTCGGTTAGTGCCCACCGATGTCATCATTTACAGTATATACAAATAACAGTATTTACAAGGTAGAACTCTGTGGTGGGGCAGGGGAGGAGAGAGAACAGACGGTTAGAAACTGGAAACAAAAGGCAGCACCCAGAGGCTGGATGGAGTGGGTGGGACCACAGGGGGGTTGGTTACCACGTGCCATTCCCTAGCATGCCAGCACCTTTCCCAGACAAGGGCAGGATTAAAAGGCAACTTTTAAGTTTCTTTTACCACTAACAAGCAACATCAGAACTGGAACATCCCTACTGCCAGTAGACAGTGCATTGCCTCCTGCTCCCTCTTGCCTACCCCCAAATCTAAAAGCAGAAATACTTTTCTTCTTGGTAGGAGGAGGACTTGAATGTTCCATGGCTGACACACGAGACCAAAAAGCATAAATTAGCATAAATTAGCTGTGGGGTAAGAATGTTGTAGTCGTGGTGGTCCAAAAATGATGGGAGGGGCAAGATGTCGCCCTAAGAAATCCTTGCCTCGCGCATGAATTTGCTGACACTGACAATTCCAAGAAGGGGATGCAGAAGCACCGCAATACTGCGGTGAGGGACACTTAATGCGTGCTCCCAAGAGATGCCACATCGCAACAGAAACAGCTCAAAGCCCTCAGCTCATCAACTGATTTTCTGTTCCAGTTGCCTGCTCCCTTTGCTCCTTGCAAGTTTGCTCTATCCCATTTCCCTCATCCCAGAGAAGGGTCGAGGAAGTGGATCAATCCAACTGAAGATAATTCCCAAATATCAAACAGTATGTTACAGGTTGGTGCGTTTAGTTTGTTTAAACAAAGCCTGCACTCCAACATAAAGAATCTACTCCATCTATGTGGACTGTTGTCCTGGTGTAGGAATGCTACTTTTTCCTACAGTACAGTATGCTGCATAATATCACTACAAACACCAATTTCCAAATTGTGTTAAAAATAAATGCAGGATTCATTCAGTCCACTCTCAACCTGCACAAGACATAGGAACTAACTAGAAATGTAGAACAATGTTGCACAATAGTTTGGGGCAAGAACCTTAGCAAGTTTAGCACAGGGAACATCCTAGCCAAGTAAAACTGAAGATCCCAAATCTGCCACTGCAAGGAATGTCCAACAGTGACAGCAAGGCAGCAGACACTTTTGCCACACCCATCCTGCCCTCAGGAGCAAGGAAAGTGATATACATCTCAAAGCACCAGGAAAGATCAGAAGCTCATAAACAATACTGAAATTAATACTTAGGCACTCCGCTAATAAGAGCAATGGGTCCTGTGCTAACTGCTAATGCAACATGCGAGATTTCCCTAAACCAAGAAGGAACAAGGAGTAGAGATGTGGACTGGTATCTGGCTAGGAAAGCAGAGCAAGACAATCAAGAGGCCAGCATCCCCACGAAGCTCAGCACTGCTCCGCAAAGTGGGAATAGGGTGGGAAAAGTTGAAAAGTAGCCCTGCTCAGAGCTAAGATCTAAATCTTCAAAGACAGTTCTGAGGCTATAAACCACTCCTCTGGAGTGCAAGAGGCCCCTCAAATTAGGTCTACACTGCAATTATAAACACAGCACTCCTCACTCCTCCAGCAAGACGCATGGATTAGCTCCTATAGCTCACTTGTTTCCAAGTTTTAAGGCTTTCCGGTAAATTCACAGAATCATAGAACTTCTCATGAAACATCCAGAAGTTAAACCCACCTCGTGCGATGACCGTCTTGCAACAATCTAAAAACAAAGAAGACTATTTCTGTACCTCAAACCAAATCTCTGCTTATTAGAAAGCACAATCTGTACCATCTATCTCAGCCTGCCAAAAGAGCATCCAGCAGTAGATTTAACAAGGCAGAATGGGACTTTAAAAAGGAATATGCAGCAGAAACTTCCCCAGAAGTCAGAAAATGAAAAGCCTCTTAAGCTACATAGCTAACCTTCCTGCACTTTATACACAATTCTTCCCTGTGGTATTATCCTTGTTCCCCACTGCTGCATCTATTCTGGTTCTCAGTATTTCACGTACAAACAAGTTGTCATATTAAACCAATTTGGCATCAGAATTGCCGGCCCAGAGGGAAGCAATAATGCCTGTTTGCAGTAACTTAATCTGCAATTTCAATAGGATACAGTTCTATTAGTTTGCTGTCCTAAACCTTTGTGCACAGTTATTGGGTACCGTTTAACAATTGCCATGCTCCGCTGCTGGCCCAGCTATACTCTACCAATGGATTAAATAACCCCTATGTATAAAGCTCAGGAATTATCCACCGATACCGAAATATCAGCCCAAACCTTAATGCTGCCAACTGCTTTAGGCAGGTGGATGCCTGAACCCCCACAGTGCTCCGTGAACCAGTCATAGGGCTCTGCGTAGGTATGGGTAACTAGCCACCAAGCACTCACTGCCAGATCACAGCCACTGGGAACAGACAGGTTTCAGGCACTATTAAAATGCAAAACAGAGCCAACTTCTTGAGCATCTGAACACGACTGAACAGAAACAGCTACAATCCGATTTGAACTGTTCTTTCATCGGGCATGTTTTAAATGCAGTCGATCCATGTATTTCCTCTTAAACCATAAAGCAATTCACGCTCCAGCGCAGGTGCTGTATAAATAAAATTATGACAGCAGATAGCCAGGGACACAATGAAAAGAGTCTGGAATGAAATATGCTAGGGAAGAGCAAAATGTGAGATCAATTTGACTTTTCAGTTACAAGCCCAAGAGGGAAGCAAAAGTGCTCGCAAGGCAGCAGCAGCAAGCAAGGAGCTCCACAGCCGTAAGTCACACGATTTCTACCTGCAAGAACTTGAAGTTTAATTTACTCCACAGTTACTCTTCCCTTTCAGTGCTAAACTGCCACTACTATTCACTCGATAGGTAGGACAGAGATCCGTCTACACGCTATTTGTTTCTGTGGGGTTTCAAGGAGAAAGGGCAATAAACTTAAGTTTTTAATAATTGA